TTTCTTTCTTTTTTTTTCTAATAATCGGGACAGACACTATGTGGTGAATAGATTGTAGGGGGCAAAGGTGATACAGAATGACAATTTAAAAAACTGGTAGAGCAGTTCAGAAATGTAAAAACCTTATATTTAATGAGTGGGTTGGTTATAAGAATTCCCAACTATTCAGGTGCTTTTAAGTCCACAGAGATCTTATCTCATTTATTCCCTCAAAAGAAATTTCAGGGCACATCAGGAAGGAGTCTCCTTGCATCATTTCCTTCAATAAATGGGAGAAGGGGGTAGAGGGAGGGGATAAAAAAGTCCACTAGGCTTTGAAGCTTTGAAGCAGGAATGAAAAATGAGTGAAAAGGAAAGTTGATGCTTTTTCCCTCCCAAATGAGAATAAAAATCTAGTTTCAAAAAACTAATGAATTTGCATGGAATCATTCCTACCATAAAATCTAAAATGAGGCTTGGTGTTGATTAATGTTTTATTGGTGTTTAAAAGGTCCCAGCAAAACTGGTACCCATCCTATGCAAGTTTAAAACTTAGCAAGAGAAAGAATCTTCAATGCACATATTTTTGTTCTTTTACTATGAAAATATCATTGGAGCATGTAAATATTCATATACCTCTTCAATTTATGAGAACTGTCCCGTATCTCCTTGGATTACAGCCTGTGATACATTTTATGGAAATTATTGCAAGTTAGGGTCAATAAACTTCTCATTTTTCCCCAGACATTATTAATTACTCATTAAGATAAATAATAGAAAAACAATCTGGAAAATAATTCACACCAGAAGGGTAAAGGAAATAATTACATTCTTATTAAATTCTTAGGAAATAAATAAACAGAATCCCTTAATTAGTATTTTGACTCTCAACAGGAGAGATAAATTAGATAATATTAGGAGATAAATTGTTTAACTGTTGTTGTGCTTAATAAATGGAGAGACACTTGATGCCACTACCCAGTGGTTTTAAAAGGATGATCATATCTCAACTCATTCATCTTAAGAAATATGAGTTCCACATAGCATTATCTAGACAAATCCAGTCTTTTTCTTCAGATAATCAAAATTAGGAGAGTTTCTTGTTATGCAAGACAAGTCATACCTCCTGCTCACCACACACACAAAGCACAATCACAGAGAAAGAGAAATATACTGTACATATGTCCGATTCCACATGCATAATAATTTTACTGTTGGGAATTTGTGAATGTTTTTATGTATGTATAGATACCTTCAAAATTAAAATAAGTAGTGTTTATTAAATGTTTGCAGTTTTTTCTATTTATATAATCTCAATTAATACTTAAAGGAAATAACTATCATTATCATAACATATACCATCTTATTATTCCCAATTTACTGGTGAGGACATTGAAACACACAGAGGTTAGCTAATTGCCTGAGGAGCTAAACAGAGAATTTAATGTAAGCAGTCTGACCCCAAAAACTTTGCTCATAATCATCTTTAACACTTCTAGTGTTATATGCACACTTCTAAAGCTTTATATATATGTACGTATGTAATAAAGTAATTTTTGGTAAAGCTGACCCGGAAGTAGTCTATTTTAAGACACCAAAACTGAGACCCAAGCTCAGAAAGACTTCTGAAAATTCATTAAAAATTTAGCACCACCATGGCGCTTCCCTACTCCTTGGCCTATGCAAAGCGCACAGGTCAACCTTCAGAAAAGATACTCGGTGAGTTCGCATTGTTTATTCATATCTCGGGGAACAAAAATAGACATGAAATTGTATGATGTATTAAAGAAAAATAATTACTTAGCAGGGCACCTGGTGAAGTGGGAGTTCCTAGAAACTGCGCAGTATGAGTCAATCAGACAAACATATCTTTACATTATCTGAGAAAAAATTATACAAAGCACATCAGATCTTGAGTAAAATCCAGTTAACCTTGGCACTTGTACCATGGAGTAATTAGTAATTTATTCTAAAGTTATAGTCATTCAATGAATGGTATTTAAACCAAATTTCAAATAAAACACATAGAGAAGAGACAAAGTAACAGTGCATCATTTTATTTAAAAAAGAGAGAGAGGGAGTGAGCGAAAAGACAAAACCTAAGCAAAGTAGTTCCTCATAAAATCAGTGATTTTCAGAAGTGTAGTAATTTCAAAGTAATCCATGTCTGGAAACTTCTTCAGCAAATTCCTGTCATAAGAACATTCTCTCATTACCATTTGAGATAAATAAAATACCTCCCTTTCTATAACCTTACAAATTTAGCTTTATTTCTGACAGTGTGCCTGTGCTCTAGGACTGTCAGAGTAGATATATAATTACTAGTGTAATTACTTACCTCATTTTTCTCAAGTAAACAACAGTTTGGTTACTATAAGTATAGTTGTCTAAACTTCCTTTGAGGATCCATGCATAAAACCAGGATGAAAGGAATTCCCCTTTTTAGAATATCCAGCGAGTAACTCCAAGCACAACTCCCTGGACTGGGTGTAACTGTTGGCAAAGGAACAGACATAAAGAGGAACATGAGCCAAGTCTGTGCATCTGAGGGACGGGGAGGGCTGTCTGCAGCGAGTAGGCAACTGGAGGTGCTAACTCGTGTGTCCACTGGCACAGCCCAAGCTCGCATCCTGTATTCACTGCGAGCGCATTGGACCTTCACTGAACTAACATGCAGTTATCTACCATGCTCTTAGAATTCCTGTGTTAAGAATGACATGAAATATGTGAATTGGAATGCAATCAGAGTAGAAAAATAAGCATTCAACTGACATATGCATGTTTTGCTGAATTAATATCCATGAACACGTGCATACAGGCATGTACATACATGGATAGAGATGTAAACATGAGGGTGTTCATATACTAAACTTATGCGTCTACAAATTAAAATGTTCACAAATGTCAGAGAGCACCAGAAAGCACGAATGTGTCTAGAAGCTGCTAGAATAATGTCTACAATTTTTGAAGTTTTGAACACCCATACAAAATATTACATATTCATTAATCTTAACATCATTTTCTGAGCGAAGACGTTACAAGCCAAGTTGCCTTCATACCCCGCTCCCCACGCCCAGGGTATGCTATAAAGAGAACCCCGGTCTTTCTCTGCAGCACCCACGCATTTATCCGTGTGCCTCCTTCATTAATGGTTGTCTTTTCTTCTGAACAGCAAGCTCCGTAAACGCAGGCCTCTGGCCTCTGCAGTGGAGGCATTGTGGTGAGACGGTGAAGCACACAGATCCCAGCAACTCACTTATCAGGCCTGCATCCCTCCTCTCCCCCCGGCCAGCTGTGCGACCTTGGCAATTCATTACCGTTTTTCTACTTCAGTTTCCTCATCTATGAAATCAGGATAATTGTAACATGTCTCAAATAATCCTGAGAATGTTAACTAATAATCTTTTTTATTGAATTTATTGGGATGACTTTGGTTAATAAATTTTATATAGGTTTCAGGTATACAATTCTCTAATACATCATCTGTATAATGTACTGTGTCCACTGCCCCAAGTCAAGTCTCCTTCCGTCACCATTTACCCCCTTTACCCTCTTCTACCTCCCCGCCCCCTTCCCTCTGGTAACCACCACAGTGTTGTCTGTGTCTATGAGGGTTTTTTTCCTTTGCTTAATCTCTTCACCTTATCTAAAGCAGTGACTGGCACACAGTAAGTGTATTATTAGTATTTAAAATTGACACATTCGCTTACCATGGTATCCTCGATGGAAAAGTGGGATGGCTGAGTGACTGGCTGGCTGACTCAACAAATGGGGAGACGGGATCATGGAGATTATACCATATTCAGTGATTTTCAGATCACTTTGAAATTGGACTTCGGGCTCCCTTTCTCCATTGAAAGTATTGCAGAATGTGTAAACCCAACAAATAGATTATATGAAAGAGTAGATACTCTAGAATAGATCAGAAGGGAGGGGGGTGGGAGGCTGGGTGGAAATAGTGAAGGGATTGCATAATATAAATTGATTGTTGCAGAATAGCCACAGAGGTGTGGATTACAGTATAGGGGATGTAGTCAATAATATCGAGGTAAGTAAGTATGGGGCCAGGTGGGTACTTGAAGCAGTGGGGGGACCACTCTATAAAGTACAAGATTTTCTAACCACTCTGCTGTACATCTGAAACTAATAGAGAATAATATTGAATGTAAACTGTAATTGAAAAATAAATATAAAGAAAATAATAGATATTCTAGTTGAAGGCGAGGGTTTGTGCAGTCCAGAGCCCATCCTCTGTGCTCATTTACTTCCTCAGCAGCCCTGGAGTTATGTCTGCTAAAGGACCAGGGCTCAGCGGAACAGAGGGGAAAGTCTCTATGTAAGTCCAAGAGCTTAGAAACTCATACTAAAAGAATGAAGTGACCCATGCAAGTTGAGGTGAATGGGAAAGTTGGATTGCAATACAGATGCATACGTGCCCTGTGAATTCTGGCTGTCGCGTGGAGCTGCACTCCAAAATTCACCCCACACTGTCCTATCTGCTCTGCTTAAAGTCACAGCCCCACGCCCATGCATAGGCCTTCCAGAGAAAAAGGCAAAGGAAAAAAGCCTAAAAACAAAACAAACAGTAGCAACAAAACCCCTACAGGGTAGTATTTCTTTTCTTTTCCTAAAAGACTGGCCCTAGGATGCCGTTATCCTCCTGGAACGTGCTCCCTTTCTGCTTCCTCTCCTCTTCCCTGGAGCCTTCAGGCTCCAAATGAGTTCATTCACCAAATACCTGGGCACCTTCTATGAGGCAGCTAGTTCTAAGCGCTTGAGAATCATTTGCTGACAAAAAGCCAAAAATCTCTGCCATCATGGAACTCTCTTAAAATAAAATAAAAAACACTAAATAAAATAAAAGATTTCCAGGACACCGGCAAAGAGAGGTTGAAGAAACTTCCAGGATGACATCTTTAAAAAAGTTCTTAGATCTTGATACACAGAAGCAAGTACTATTTTTAATGTTAGTATTTGTTTTTCCCCCCAATTAGTTTGTATGGAATAATTTACATTGTAGCTTTGGTAACAAATCTTTATTGAGGAAAAATAGGCCATCTTCCAGTACCTTTTATCCCTCACCATTGGCCATTAATCTGCAACACATAATCCAGATGAACAAGTAGTTTGGGAAAGTTTAAGACTGTACACATGACAGAAACATCCCCAAAGTAAACAAGCACATGTTTTCATCACTCTCTAGGTCTGGCCAGCTCACCCTACTGTATGGTGTCAATAATATTTCAGCCTCTGCTGCAATTAGTGCTAATTACAGACCCCAGCTATAAAAATAAAAGATTCCATTATTCAAAGTTCACAGATACTGTTTTAATCCACCTAACCCACATTGTCAATCTAAAAGAGTAAATGTCTCCTTCACATATAACTGTCTTAGACTTGTAATCCAGTATATTTTATGAAACAGAATTATGTCTGAAATAGCACTACAATGCTAAATATATGATTAAAGAATGGAAAGAAAAAAGTTAGCCATCTAATATATTCAGTATTCAGAGATTTGAGATCAACAGAAAATCACATCCAGATGAGTTACTGAATCTTTCACTTTTCTTCTGAGAATGTTGGCATTGGATAGACACAGTCAGCATTCATTTAGGCCTGATATGCTTTAGGCACTAGTTCAGTTTACATAGCTCATGGATATAAGAGGAAACACAACATCAAAACAAATTTGTAATTTAGAATGAATATATAGCAGATTAGCATTTTAAAATAACTAGAGAGAAAGCAATTGTAGTTCTGATAATCTCTATATTGTTATTCCATCAGAAAGTATGTTTGTTTCTCAATAGAAGTCAATTCATATTCTGCAAAACATAAGAAATCTTTCACTGCTAACCATTACAGGTACGTAACAGAATTCATACTATCTATATTCAACATTCAGGTTAATATTTTCTTCCATATGAGGATAGTTAGGCTATGAATTTAACTTCTCAAAAACAACCATCATTTTACAGAGCTGTTAATTAAAAGACATGAGAAATGGCACCTCTCTTACAGACAGAAGCCACATGTGTAAGTAAAGCATTTTAAACCTCTCTGATGCTATTTTAAAGTAATTAAAGGACTGGGAGAAATACAATGCATTCATTACAGTAAAGTCATAGAGCATACTAAAAAAGTATTCCATATTTAACTATTAAAAGGAACTCTCAAGAATATTTATTTAAAAATATTTATAAAGCTCTTCTGCTTACAAATTCCTTCTATTCTGAAACAAATAATTCAATGACTATACCACAGTAAAGTCTGCTGGACACATAATGCTATCTATCATTAAAGAAAAAGTATGGATATTTTATTCATTCAAAGCCCACGCGACATGACAGTAATTTAGAGAAACAATTTGATTTTTATCATCAATATGTAGAACAGGAATTTAGAGCATAGAAAAAAATGATTTACAAATAAGCTGTTCAAATTGGATTAATATTAAGCCAAATTTTCACCTCTCATCATGATATGCTATAAAAATTTCAGAAAACATCAGCTTGGTTTTCTTTTTATTAGTTCCAAAGATGCCTCATAACATACTATGCTAAGGTGAAATGAGTCATTAACTTTCCATAGGATCCATAGAGTCTAGGAGTGAAGTTGGGGCACAGGGTGGGATTAGGGAAGTGAACCTAAATTAAAACTAAATTATCTACTTCTCTTTCACAAACCTTTGAAGATGGTTAGGGTTTATGGGTAGAGTGGGACAATTAGAAGGAACAGGACTCAAGAAGCTAGCATATTCCATCTCATAGAATTAAATTTTTAGAGCAAGAAGTCAGCTGAAACTTTGGACCTTGATCTTCTCTTCTGTCGTGGTCACTTCATCAGAAAACTCTATGGATCATCTATAAAATCAATTCTCTTTCTTTCTTAGGTAGCCTGTAATCTGAAAAATACTGATAAGTGATACTGAATTATTCTGTAAGTACAATAGCTACAATATTACTTTTACTGTTAATGATAGTTTGCTATTTCTCCAAATCGCTTCATTTCTTTGAATATGTCATTGTGATCAAAGTGTGGCATTATATCCAAGAATTTAATTTCAACTTAATTTTATATATAATTATTTCTAACATAGCCTACCAAGATTTAGTAATCCAATGCTTGGTATATCCATTGTATAAACCCATACTCTTATATGCTTTCTGCAAATGGGTCTTTATATATTCCACACAGACAAACTACAATTGATCATTTTGCCAATTTTAGTCTGTAAGTTTGATGCTATGTCCACCCTATCAATCAGATAATTATTTCAATGTCAATTTCTCTTGCTTGTGAGCTATGTTCACATTATTCAGGAGTGAACTGATTGGATCAGTGATAGTCCTATATAGAGCCCTAACTTTGAAGAGCATCAAAGCCATTGATTTGTTTTAATAATACATTTGTTTTCAACGTATACGAATCTGGGTTCACTGGCTCTACATGGCTATTTTACTTTCATCAAATTCCCACTTTTAAATGTATATTATCTGCTTGCAAATTTGTATTTTAGAACCCCCTTCCCATCCCACATTCCACTACCCAAATTTCATATAAAAAATCATGCCAAGAATTTCAAACAACTTGATTTCTAACTTGGAGTAGTTCCCACAGACAACCATAGGGATGTGCCTATAGAATGCCAAAAAGTCTAATCAGTTGTGTCACAAATTTATTCCTTCATTTAGGTATTCTCTCTGTATTATACCAAACACATTTCATGAATTCTGTTAAGTGATTAAATCCCTGACAGAGTTGCCTTGATATATTGGTTAGCCATGGTTCAACATAATAAGACTAGAAATAAACACTCTCAAGACACCAAATTCTTTATGATATGATTGCAGTTTGGATTCTGAGAATGCTGAGGGTGCAAAACAATATATCATCCTCCAGCTGCTTTTACATACTAGGTCATAGAAGTCCTAGATACCCAAATGAATCGTAAGAATTAAGTGCTATATTGCATTTGAGTTCAAAACAGGCCAATTAATATTGGGTAATTTACTGATGACAATGACTACTTATGACTGAGGATGTTCATTTTAATTAGGTTATTGCTTGAGGATCATAACTGGCCTGGAATCTTTTGGAAAATTTGAAGACTACTTTATAAAGTACATAAAATTGTGAAAAAACAACACATGATTTAAAAACTTAGTATTTCCATCGAGCCTGTGGTCTAAAAAGGGTATGGAGACAATAGCAAATGGATGTTTTTAACACAGTTTCTTGGTATCTACAGTATTTTTTCTTCTTTAGTCACCCTTTCTTCAAAGCTGGTGAATTTTTCTTCCTGGGTTTTTTTCTCTTCACATCCGGCACAAGGAGGCATTTGCAGCTTCTGTCAAATAGTGCAAAAAGGCAATTAAGAGAGTCAAAACTATATGTATGTATGGTAAAAATGAAAGTGTAATAGAACACTTTAAATACACATGTCTCAACAGATATCTTACAGAAAACTAATGCCACACCAAAACAAAATAAATGTAAATATGTTAATACTGCTACTTCATGAAAGTTCATAATATATTGTCTGTGAATGGCAAGGTATTTCAAAATATCCCAAGAAAACTTTGGCCAAACCATCCCTTATTCTTCTGAGGATTCAAATAAAACTAAAAGCTTAGTGGCAGGCAGAGTGGTCATGGAAAGCACTGGGCGAAGGAGTATCTTTTATTGCCCAGTACAACATCCCTGGTTCAGTGAGAGCCAGAGAGAACAATCATTAAACCAAATGGATTCATGAGAACATTGTGCTAAGTGAAATAAGCCAGTCAGAGAAAGACAAGTACCATAAGATTTCACTCACATGTGGAATTTAAGGAACAAACTGAACTACCAAGCAAAATAGAAACAGGCTCCCAGATAGAGCGCAGGCTGACAGCTCTGGTGGGTGTTGGTGAGGTGGGGTGGAGGTGGAGGTATTGATCAAAAAAGAAAAAGAAAAAAAAGAGAATTCACAGACATGGACAACAGTGTAGTGATTGCCAGGAGTGTTGGGAGGAGGGCATAGAGGGGATAAATGGTGGTGGAAAAATAAAATAAAAATAAAAATAAAAAAAAAAGAGAAGTGCTTTCTGACATAATCAAAACCAACCAACGGAAAAATACCTGTGGGGTAGGCTCTGGTTCTGCAGCGCCATTGCTTGGGGGATTTTCTTTATGCTTCATTAAACATGTCCTGTCCTCCTATAAAAGTTGCAATTGAAAATAAGTCAATAGAGTTAAATTAAATAAAGAAGGGGTTTGAACGACTCTCTTAAATTCTTCCCATTGAGACACTTCCTTCACTTTGATACAAGCTGAAAGGTAAGCTAGGGACAAAATCATCACAACATGAGTGGGATCTCAAGGAGAAGTTAAGCATTCAAAACTGGGTTTGGGATCTCAGTGGCGCTTATAGCAGTCAGCTACCACAACAGAGTTCAATTCCAGCGCAAAGCTCTTTCTTTGTAAAAACATAAAGTAAAATGAAGAATTACAAAATGACTACATTTGTGATGTATCTGGCCTCTAAGACATCAATATGCCAATGGTCTGTATGCCTGCAGGAACATCAATATTGCAGGAAGCAATTTAAACAATATGGCCATCCATCTGTCTGCAAAAAATCTTCAATGCCTTAAAAATATTATATTTCTGGGTATAATATCCTATACTTTATTAACCAGGAAATCTCATCTTACTTATTAGCCTCAATAGTTTGGAAGAAGCTGAATTGCTGACTGTGTATTCCAATTGGGATTCCTCTCCATTTCAACCAAGTCATAATATTAAATTTACCCTCCCTCCCTCTCTCTTCTCCTTCTCCCCCTTCCTCCTTTTTTCTTCTTCTATATTTTGAAAACATTTTTAAAGTAACCATACAAATGATTTAGTGCAAGAATACATTTTTGGGTTTTTTTTTTGGTATTTTCCAAAATCTTTTTCTTGTGTAAAAGAAAAAGGAGTTCAATAGTCCATGGCCACCAGTTAGTTCTGATGTTGAACAAGTCAGTGTGTTTCCTTGGGGCAGGCTGGCTTTGAACTCTAACATTCTGTAAATTCTACCAGTAGATAATAACTAAAGAGGTTGCATAGGATATTTAGCCTGCTCCAACTCAGATTTCAGTTCTCCCTATTCTCACAGTGTGTTGCTCTTACTTGAACACACACCATATTATGTTACCTTTCAGTGCCATGTGTATGGAACCCACCATGACAAAAATCCCTCTTTGCTATGACGTCCTGAAAACTAGTCTACTCATTCTCTTGCTAAGTACATCACTTCTACCACCAACAGACTCAGTAACGCTCTCCTGTTCTAAAGATACAGCACATATAAAAACTTTAGAGCTTAACGTTGCTTCTGTATGTATAAGCACGCACGGATCCTCAATATATTTTGCAGGTTGCTAATGACAGGAGCAACATCTATCAGCCCTAGAGGGCAGTGAGGTGTCTGCCAGATAGCAAGTGGCCAATATATAATCTCTCAGTAAATAACAAATGAATAAAACAAACATTGGCTATGAAAATACTACAATAATTAGCATTTTAATAAATGTCTGATTTTTTCATAGAATTTAATTTAGGTGTATTTGATAGAGGCTGCGAAATGATTACACACAGCCTCTTCTTCCAAATAAGCCTACAGTGTAGTGAAAAAGTAGATTGTAACTGTAATAATAGAAATCAGTATTTTTTCCATTGCTTTTCAGAGACAGTGGAAGGGGGAGAGAGGGAGAGAAACATCAATGTGAAAGAGACACATCAATTGCTTGCCTCCTGCTCTTGCCCTGACCAGGGCTAGGGATCGAGCCTGCAACTGAGGTACATCTTTGGCCGGAATCAAACCTGGGACCCTTCAGTCCACAGGCCGACGCTCTATCCACTGAACCAAACCAGCTAGGGCTTGACTACCTTACCCCCAAGAATTTTAGGCAGATGCACAGAGGAATTGTCCATACTTCCTAAGAAATGGATTTGCTTCTTTTTATGTTGCATGGGTTTGCGTTAGACTTGGAATCTAAAATGACCTTGGAAAAGTGGTAATTACTTGGTTCTTATTGTAAATATAACTGGTCTTTGTTTTTACTACACTTTTATTCAGTCTTTCAAAAGTTAACTAAAGTAAGTGAAATCGAGCTCAAGAAACGTAAGTGTAGAAAGCAAGCTGTATAGTGAAAGATTTCCAAAATATATTCTGGAATAATGGAGTTCATAGCTCCTATAAGTTTGGAGGAAAAGTTTATTTGAACATTTATCAGTTGTATTTCAAGAAGTTCTCAGCCCTTTCAACACAGAATTTCTTAGAGTTTTCGTCTTGAATGATCTGTCCAAATAATCATTTAAAGTGACTGTTAAAAAAACACACTCTTGGGTAATAATTCAGTCCTATAAATATGGGGCTTGCATTTTTAAGCATCACTCTAGGAACTCAAATGCACCATGAAAATTGAAATCCACTTCTTTATAATGCACAAATGCCTTATAAATCTCTTAGAAGGGGGTGTGATATAACCATTTCCCAAATCTATTTGACCTCAAAAACTTTTATGTGTGTGTGGAACATCACCTTAAGGTCACTGACATGAGAAAAATACTAAAGGATTTTCAGTGGAGTATGTGCTTTCATTAATGCAAGCATAGCTGGCTATTTGAGACAAGGCTTTGATCATCTGAACAATGAAAACTTATAAATTTAAACATTAAAGAAAATACTATGTGGCTGGAAGACAGTTCAAATCTTTTTTGATATTTTGATCTTATAATGAACAGTACCTTTAAATTTACATTTTCTGTGCCCCATAGGCCTTGTAGGAACTTCATGAGATGGGTTCATGACATTCATAAAATATGACTTCTCCAGTGTCCCTATTGATCAGGTTTCTCCTGCTTCCCATCTCCTTCCCCTTGTGAGCCCCTTAGATAAGACTCCCATGGAGCTTACAAAAGCTTGGCTTTTGCTCTTTTTAGTTTGAATTGACCAATTTGGCCTAGCCCAGAACCTCAAAGCATTCTACCCACCCTCACTGACCAAATGGTAATAAAGGCATATGCCCAGGTCCAACTTCTTGCTCCCTGTCTGCACTGAGCCTTATCTCACCATGTGGCACAGGAAGGTATGCCTGAGTCTCCCCCAGGACATGTGAATAATGAACTTCTCTCTTTCACTTTCCCTTGCCTTGTGATCTTTCTTGAACATCAGCTCACCACTGGACACCCAGAAGTCTACTTAAAACATGTTAATTTAACAAAACATCACAAAAGGCACTATAACTAAATTTACAATCACTGGAAACCCTACAAAAGGAGAATGGCTGCTTCTGCATTTTATTTATTTTAAATTACACTCTATTTTTTCTCTTAGGAATAAATAATAATACTTTAAGGATTAAAGCAGATAGAATGACATCAGAGATTCATTAAAAGTCCTCCTTGAGTTTATGTCTTTGACTCTGCTGATTACTATGAGTTTATTATTGGCATTAAACACTGGGTTCTACTGCACAAGAGAGATTATTACCTTTCTCCAGAATAACTGGGCAACTAACTTAGGACTCTACCAACAAAAAAAAATATCTCTGAGAGGTATAAAAGTCCAGCTCATTATGCATCTTTAATTAAGACTTGGTGTAAGAAGATGGTATAGTTCCACTTTTTTGCATGTATCTATCCAATTTTCCCAAAACAATTTGTTGAATAGACTGTTTTTACCCCATTGTATGTTCTTGTTTCCTTTGTCAAATATTAAGTCTCTGTCCTCGAATTGTTTATTATCTAATGCAAAATGAGAACCTTATATAAATAATATCCAAGATGGAATGTGATACAGATAAAATACATGTATAAACCAAGCATGATGAGGTCCCAGAGGAGAAAGCCATATGTGCCTTGCAGGGAAATAGAAGGGACTTGGGGAGGGGGGGCGGAGTGTCAAGGTATTATTGACCACACCAAGCTTTGTATTTGCATATCGTGTTTGGCCAATATCTTTATAATAAATATTAGCATGCTTATTGGGCTATTTTTATTTATCAAACTAATAAACATTATTGGTTTCTATACTATTTCTGGTAAGAGATCACAATTAAGTTCATATTTTGCATGTTTTATATTAAGGTGTCACAGGAGGGTAAACATGGAAATTTATATCTACTGTGAAAAGTTATTTATGTCTAATTGTTCTGAAGCCTTTGGGGAACTATTTACCATTTCTACATTATCTGGAGGGATACCTACTTCTTAAAAATGTCACAGCAGGACAATGGAAAATGCCTTGAATGAAGCCAACCCTTTCAGATGGTCTGATGGAGTGTGTCTCAGAATGACACGGTAGGCGGTGGTCTCAGCCCAATTACAGCAGGACATGACTTGCCTAGAAATTTTTGTTAACTAAGCTTCTGCCAACAACTCATTAGATCCATCAACTGCCACACAATGAATACTGAGTATAATAGCAAACTAGGATTTCTTAAATCTGAAAATTGTTTTAACATGACAAAGCTGGCATAATTTTCCCCTTCCAGCTTTAGAATTTATTTTCTGTACATTTTTAAAATCTCATTTCCCTGACAATTCTTTTTGCTATTGAATAAACTCCTTTTGGTCAAGAACTTGAAAGCAGGTGTAATGGCAAGAAACTGAGTGAGTGCTCACAGTGCTAAACAGTTTTATTTATCAAACTAATAAGCATTATTGCCTTGTTGCTTTTTATTTTCTGTAATCATTGTGAAAAACAGTCTGCTGCCTATAGAAGTCAGAAACATTGTATAACACATTTACATTGAGTAGTAAGTCTTAATCTCTAAGTGAAAGTTAAAATGAAATGTTCAATGTCTTTAATTCTTGATATGCTATTAAACAATATGAGGCACATTTGCAAACTGCAGGAAAGTGGGATGAAGCAGGTACATCTTTTGCTTTCTCTGTATGACTCCAATATTGTCACTTAAGCAAAGCTGCTTTCGAAGTAATCCTAACATACTCCAAGCTGATAGTCCAATATGCTGCTAAGCCTTTGGGGGTTCTCCACGTCCACTTAAAAAAAAGGGGGCCAAGGCATCCAGAGGTCATTTTCCTAAGTGACCTTGTCTGACTTGCATTGGGCAGGAAGTAGAACAAACACACAAAGGTACCTAAGAATATGCATGGTCTCTACTCCCATTTGGGACCTTGACCATAGAAAATATTGAAACCTTGAATATGAAAATTGCAGAACAGCTTTATTAGGATGAACAAACCAGGCCATTAACAAGGATATAATTGTATACTGTATATTTAATATCTATTATATAATAATTATATATAATTATACGTTATATGTAATATATAAATATAGGTAATTATATATTGTATCTATGATTTATAAATACAATTATATATATTATATACATAATTATATATAATCATAATGATAAATCTGCAAGAAATCAACATCAAATTTTCTCAAAATATTTAACATGAAATATTGCAGAAGAAAATAGAGATGGGTTTATTAAAATAATACACATTCCTGGGCTGTGCCCTGGAGCTACTGATTAATAATCTGAGGGAGTGGAGCCTTAGTATAAGCAGATTTACAGGTTGGCCTGGAGGTTTATAGGCATGCAAAAGTTTAAAAACCATTGATCGACATTATATCAATAAGGGATATGAACAATAAAATGACTTGCCAAAGCAACATGTTAAAAAACAGCAAAGTTCGTATTCAGGTCTAGGGTTTATGTAATTTCCAGGTTTTCTTTACATGTTATTTAGTCTGAGGTGTTGCCAACAGAAATGCAAATGCATCACCTGGTCCCTATTTAAAATTATAGTTTTTAAGGCTGACTGTGTCATCTTTTAAGTTTATTCCTTTTAGAAATTAAAATATTTAATTCAAAAATATTTGAGGTTTCAAGTAACAGGAATAGCTTTGCATAAAGGAATAGAAAGTAGTAGCTACTGAGGGCTTGTTATATGCCAAGAGTATGCTAGGCATTAAATTAGGCTGTGTCATTTAATATTTTAACAGGCTGTAAAAAGTAAGATATCTTTCTCTCTCCTTTTCAGAAGAGGAAAATGAGCCTCAAAGGGTTTAAACATTCATGGTTACACCTTGAGTAACTGACTAAAACATGAATGAAACTAATCAACATTATATTCCTGACTTTCCTCTGCAGTCTTTCACCTCGAGCTGTAATAGAAACACTCCATTTGTCATTGTTGACCTTAGAAGTGTCATTTCTAGAATGAAACCTGCCTTATCAGTCAAGACTAATTGGCAAAATTATATAAGGAATTTATCTCCCTTATCCTGGGTGTAGAGTCTTAATTACTAGATATTTCCATTGGAACTCCACGTAGCTTTTTTGAAAATCTCATCACAGTTTGACTCAGAGCTTATAGTCACTTAAAATGATTTAATGTGATACAAGATAAATATACAAAAATTAATTGCATTTCTACAACTAGCAATAAGCAATCTGAAAATGAAATTAAGAAAACAATTCCATTTATAATAAGATTAAGAAGAATAATGTACTTGGGAATGAAAAACAAAAGAAGTGCAAGACTAGTAAACATTTCAGAAGGATATTATAGAAGATATAAATAAATGGAGAGACATCCCACGTTTAGGGACTGGTTACACAATAGAGAAGGGCTCTGGGAGATATTCCCCTTACCCACCACCATTTTTCAGTTCTAACATTACAGAGCCTTATTTAGGCATTGCCTTCTTTAACATGCAAATATATTAGAGTAGGAGAAGCAGAAAATCCATTATTAAACAATATACTAAAGGGATTAAGTCTTATCTAAACCAATGTTTTTCAAATTTTGACTCACAAACCACCTACCTCAGAATCACTGGGATTGGAAAGAAGGTTGTCAGGTTCATAATAATAATAATAATAATAATAATAATAATAATAATAATAATAATAAAGGTTTAACTTAGTCCTATTCATTTAAAATTTCCTGAGAATTTTCTCAATCTTAATTTTCAAAAGTTCTCCAGATGATATTTATGATCATTTGCATGTAAAAATATAATGTTAGTGAAACAGTCCTGCACTTTAAAATCACCTGGAGATATTAAAAAATAAATACAACAAATGTCTAGACCCCACGTACCAAGGTGTTAACTTTTCTGATGTCGGTCCTGGGCATCGGTATTGCACAAGAGCTCGCCGGGGGATACATTATTCTAAGGACAGGGCTAAGAACTACAGGTCTAGAATTTGAAAACTGATATTCACACCAGTCCCACTAATTCCTACTTCTTACACCTGACTTATTTTACTCCCTTATATTGCTCTCTTGGCCTTGAAATAAAATCCAGTCTACAGGCTATGAATATGGAACACTCTCTGCCCTACAAAGTGTAACTTCTTTGAAGTAGAAACTCCAAAGGCTAAAATCTAGACAGAGAGCATTGGCGTTAGTGTGGGGGAGGCAGCTTTTTGGAAAGGACTCAGACTGGGATCCAAAGGAAGAGCTGCTTATGGGACTTATTAATAGGAGAGGAATTACCACCGATTAGGAAGGACAAGAAAAGTAGAAGGAGAGTGGAACAAACACGACACAGTTTCTGATTCTGGGCAGGCCTGTTCTTGATAGGAAAAGGAGACCAGAGTGTCGCTTTTGGTAACCTTAGCAAAACACAAAGAACTTTTCAACCCTGCCTCCAATGGGAACATGCTTAGTAAGCTTAATGAAGTCCCCGTTCTTTGTCCTTTCAGATGCTTTGGCCACCATGTCGCAAGAGTGATTTGCTCAAGGTACACACCCATTAGTACAGAGGCAGGAGTAAGGAACTGAATTCCTCCCAGCATGAGGCCTTGAAGGAGCAATTCTGGGCATTACCCAGAAGGGTGGAGGCCAGAAGCACCCAAGAACCTTTTTTTTGGTTTAAATTGGGATATAATTGACAGATAAATTGTGTTAGTTTTAGGTGTATAACATAATAATTTGATATGTGTATATATTGCAAAATATGTTTGGTAGTTTTAAGAAAATAAATCAAGAAATAAAAACATTCTCCTTAATATTAACTGAGGATCTTATCACTTAATTGAACACAAACATTTGAAAACCTTAACTGTATCCCCAATTCACACCAAACTCCTTAGCTTAGAAACCCAGGGCCCCTCCTCCTCCTCCCTTAGTTATCTTTTTAGGCCCATATCCCACCACTTTCTGCATTCAATTTTCTAGCCGTATTATTTTCTTCTCTCTGCACATCTGCTCACAATGTCAGAGACCTATGTGTCCTTCAAACTACAACAAAGTCTTCCTTCCCACCCCAGACCTTCTTGACTTCTCTATCCCTTGGAAGTGACTTGCAGAACATTCTATTCTACTGTTCAGTAACCTCATGTTCTAAATTCTATGGCTTTAGCATGTGTTTAAATACACAAAGGTATGAAAGCAAATTGTTGAGAAATGTATATTTCCAAGTTCACTTTGGGAGCCAATAGAAGAAAAAGAGATTGACTTGGTTAGCCTATGTTTCTGTTTGACTTACTTTCATTGCTACCCCCTGATTTCTTTTCAATCAATGGATGCTTTGCATTTTGGTACCTAGATTGAAGCCTAACTTTGAATCTACTCCACATAATCGGTGTCGTTTTCTGTTTCTCAAATCCAGACGTGATAAATCTGTAATTGTGTCGAAGTTCCAGAATTAAAATTTTATTACACTTATTATAATTTTAAAAATTCCACAGGGTACAAGTTCCATGTTTCCTATTATCACGTGAAAGTTAAGAATCTCTCTTCCTCTAATGTAATCTCTGTATAATGCTGGGGTTATTTGCTTTATAGGGAAAATACTATAAAATCACATCCTTTGGGATTTTGTTTGCTTGTTGGTTTTTATTTTTAATATTCTAATAGGTTTCTGCCCTGTGGTTGTGGAAATAAGCACACTGTGTCATCCTCTTTATATCTGACAACTCAGGTTCACAGTACTCCTAAGAGGCTGGTTATACTTCCTGGGACACATACCTGATTCACATTCAAAGAACATCCCCTTTTTAAGATTTTAAAGTACAGTGTTTAGATAGTAGATAGTATATATCAATAGAAGTGTCATGATGGCATCAACTAGGATTGTTAAAATGCTTATTTCTCGTTTTCATGTTGAATACTGTTAAAGCTATTTTAAGTTAATCTTACATTTTCAGAATTGCACTCAGGGGCATTCAGATTTTCCTCCTTTGTTGTAACAACTTGAGAGTTCTCACTGCTTCCAGGAGCGCTTTGTTCAGGCTTCAGAAAGAAAGAGAGAACATAAAGAGAGAGAGACACAGAGAGAGAAACAGGTTTAACAAATAGATTCATAAATATTGTAAAGTAAAATACAATGGCAACATCACACTCAAAGAAAAAGAACAACATGGAAATTGGTATATGTTGGAGACTTTAAAATGTGTGCTTTAAAAATTCTTAACTTTAAAATGAAATAAAATAATTTCTGCTCAACTTTGTATTAGTGATGTTCAATGGGATTATTTTAAGAGTCCCAGTTCCTCAAAAAAAAAAAAGAAAAAGGAATCCTGTATTTTCTGTTAATTAACTTCCAGTACACCTGAGAAATAGTAAGTACACACCTTATTTTCTCAGGAAGAAAGAAAACGTTTTGTAACATCTCACTGTAATTTGCATAGAGGACTAGATTCACTCCAGGGCTTTACTGACTAATTAATTGTTGCTTTATACCTCTGGAAACCCACAATATTATTCTAAAATTCATCACTTTAGGAACACTAAATTAAAAAATAAAATAAAAAGGAAGTTTTCCAGGTTCTGGCCAGGGAAGGGAATACCGTAAGGAATGTATGTAGATATTGCTATGGGCTAGTCTAAGATTATCTACTCAAACGGGTGTTTCTGATTTGAATATGCTACTCTGCTCATTAATCTGTGAGGGTACTGTTATTGCATGAGAGACAAAAACTAAACTCAGTGAGCGCTAACTTGCTTGGATCTGAAACTTTGATCTCAGTGGATCACAGGGGATGTAGAAAAGAGGAGTCTGTTGGGGACCCAGGAAGACAAAGACTAGGATGTGGTCTGGTCAGAGAACTCACACCCACTAAGGCTTCCTCTGTGCTACACGCTAGGCAGCACTGGCCTGTATTTCCACAGGCAGTTATAGTCCTTAGCAGGGGGACATTCTTACAAAAATAATAATTTTATAAAAATAAAACTACTAATAAAACTAGTAGACTATTAAATGTAAAATAATTAATGACGCTAGTAGTATATTAGAGATACAGTGGAAATAATGCATGTGAGTAGACAAAAATAGTCCCCATATTAATTCGCCCAAATGCTGGGCATTATGTATAATAATAAATAAATAAAGCAAATAAAATTCCTGTCTTTATACTTGAAGAAGTTTAATTTAATTGTAAGAGATCCAGCAGGCACCCCTGTTTTACTCCCCCTTTCCCTCCTATTCTTTCTTGTTTAAGACCTCCATCTTCTGATCTCCCCCACGCCTTCCTGAGGAATAAGAAAAATTAATCAGGAAAACAAAATATCTTCAGACAAGCCAGCTCTCTGTGTTAGTTGTCACTGGTGAATATAAGGATGAGAAAGGTGCTATCTTCATCTTCACAGAACTTACATAATCTGACTGTTATTCACATAAATAGTTCTAATATCAAGTAGATTAACAATAGGGCACAAGCAGAGTTGTATATCTTTTGAAAGGATGAATGTCAACTCCATTTGGGGCAATAAGAAAAGGTGCAATGGAAAGGGTAGCCTTCAAAATGGGCCTCTGAATGACTAAGGAAAGGATGGGGGGAGGGCATCCAGGTGATGGAAACACTGTAGGAAAATACTTTTAGGAAGAAGAGTCAGTTGGCCTGTTGGTTTCCAGGGCAGCAGTACAGTAATTATGAGAAAAATGCTACAAGTAGGAAGGAGAATCCCAAGGTCAAGCTACAAAGTTTGTAATTACAGCTTTTTTTTTTTCTTTAAAATTATTCCAAAAGAAAAATTCATTTAAAAAAAAACGAGGATATTTCTCCCTTCTAGAGTTTTATGAGAAGAATTTAAGTTCATATGAGTGTGGTACAACTCAACAAATGTCAGTTAGTGTGGGTATTATTGCTGTTAACATTAGTTTCTAAAATTGTCCAGTACAAATAAGCATTCGTTTCCTAATAAAAAGAACTAATATAATTTTAGAGTAGTTGATGTTATAAATGGTTACAGTTAGGTGGCCTGATGTATATGAGCATATAAATAAATATGGCAAAGAAGTCATACCATACATACATGTTTAAACTATTAGGTTAATGTCAAAGCATTAACAAATACCTAAAATTGAAAAGAAAAAAACAAGCATACTAGGAAAGCAGGCACAGTCTTATTAAACGTATTTTCCAACATTTTGAAGTTGAAAATGAAAACATTTAATCTATTTTGTGCTAATAAAATATTAAGTGTATAGGAAAGCTAGAGGGGGCCTATTTTTAATGTGGTTCGAGTACAAGCTTCATGAGACCAAGGTCATGCTTCTTCCTCAGTAGTGGTGGGATGCAATTGGGACCTCACGGGCCATTGCTGGGGCTTTAGCAGCATCAGCAGGAGGCAGGAGGTGAAAGTGAGGGCTGATGCTTAGGGATATGAGAACACCTTCCCAGCTGCCAAGAATGGGCTCTACATCGTGGAGGCTAGGGGAAGATACTACATGTGATGTCTGGTGGGTGTGGCGCGTTTTAGCATGGTTGGGCAACTGTGTGGGGAGGTTGGAAATCCATCAGATGAAACACCATCGTTATTCAGGTCAGGGACTCATGGAGATATAGGGAATAGAAAGATATTATCATTTCCTAAGTAAGTGACATGAAAAAATATCAATCAAGATTTCTTAAGTGCTCAGCAAAGCAGATTGGCGTTCATGGGAGGATCCTGATTATAATATTGATAGCAAATTGAATTCCTAATCCATGAAAATAAGGTGAATGTGGGTTTTACAAATGGTCACCTTTATAGGAACAAGTTCAGAAATGCTGCCTCTTGTGTCTTTATATAAGTATCCAGGGAGCATCCCTGCTCTCCATATCCTTTGATACCAAGGAACCACACTGATGATTACATACTACATAACTTGATTTTACTTTTCAAAGCACGAATAAAGTGTACCTTGCTTTTTGTCCTTGCATCTAGAATCTTGATGTCAGAGGTACTGGGTGGAACTGACATCTGAGTTGGATTTGACGTGATTAGACTCAAAGGGGGTGGTTGATCACGGAAAACAGATGACAGGCAGAGTTGTACGGTCTGTTTCATTGCTTTCAGTTGTGACTCCTACAAAAAAGAGAGATCACAATATTTACATTTGGTTCTGGTTATCATTTATCTAATTAGATTCTTCTTTTTATCCTAATCTACACTCACTGCCCTCACAAATACACATCAGTTTTTAAACATAATGCCTAACTTATAAATTCCATTATGATGCCCTGTTTCATGCACACTCAGTCTGTTTTTAGGAGTTAATGCATTTTATGACATATTTTGAACACTGAAATTCAGAGATGTATCTTGCTTTTTTCCCTTGAGTTGGCATGATTTTATTCATGATAGTTTGCTGAATATATTTGTTGAAGGAAATGTTCTCTGGGGTCACTCTGAAGTATAAAATGTCATTCTTAGAAACCCGTTGTCTTTTTATTAGTACCAACCACCTGTATTACAAATCTCTCCTCTGGCAATATAGGCCCCTGTGTTTCTCAGATTAGCCTATTTTAGCGACTCAATTTCCCCACATATTGGGAAAAATAAATTTGTTTCTAATAAAACTCTTATTTCCTCTGGGCCTTGTTAAGAAGTAGGAGTTAATTTGCTTTGACTGTAAATGATAATATTAATACTTTCTTATATTAGCATAGAATATCACAATATTCCAAGCACTTTCACATGCAAGAAATAATTTTATGCTTTCAAACATCCGTGAAACTGGCACTGTAATTATGACATCACTATGAAGAAAAAAAAAAATCTAAAATTTTCAGACTGGTTTATTTTTGGTTTACATCACCAGGCAGACAACTTACGTGGACAACCATCTCTACCTCCCATCTAATCCCCAGATCCCACTTCTAAACATATTTTTACATGCTGATAAGTTAAAAAATAACAGTAATATAAAGCTGAGTACAAATGACAGACAGATCCTCAGGTACGAAAATGAAGAGAGACATACAGCTCAGGAAATCTCATGGTAACTCAAACAAAATTTGGGGCATGGTTACAGGCCCTAATAAGACAATGTCACATAAACATCAATTTTAAGACATGAGATGTGGCCTTTTGTCCAGAAGAGGTGAAGAGAGAGATAAGCTACTGAGGCCAGAATTCTGGGATAAGCTGGCACAGGTGGAGATTAAGCTTTCGGTGCATTCATAGGTCAGTGCAGCAGCACAATGTGTTTTCTCTGCCTGTCAAAGGCATATACGTCCAACAAAACGACTGCTTTTCATGCACGATGCCAGAAACACACGTTCATATAGCCTCCCCCCCGATTTCTTGTGTCCCATAAAGCCCTCATGATCAATTTCTTGAAAGTAGTGACTATGACTTAGGTCCTTCCCAATGCCTGCCTCTGCGCTTTCTACTTGTATGTGGCATATGATAATATTTATCTTTAAGTTGTGTCAATTCCTAGCATAGCAGTTTAAGAAATCTCTCTCTTGGCAAGAGACTTTTTAAAAAAAGCAGCAGTAGAGCAACTGCTGGAAATATATGAGACGTAGAACAGACATTCATTTCCTTCTCATTAATCTTGCCCTATGAAGTTGTCTAAGACAAAATGAGAATCTGGAAAGGACTAGTACCGAGGAGCACTGCAAAGTGGACAGGAGGGGACTACGCTGAATAATGACCAAAATTTTACTCAGTGTCCCTTTTATTTGCGTGTCTGAGCCTCTAGTTTGTTGCCCTTCCTTCACCCCATTAATTGCTATGATTGATCCTGTTGTTTCCTTTATATAATTGATCGCTAATTTCTCATTTTCAATTTATATGTATATGCACACATGTGTAAATTGCCTATTTTGTTCGGAATGGTTCTAGCATATAACATAATCCCTGACATATTAAAGGGACTCAACAAAAAGTTTTTTGAGTAAATGACTTAAAAACATAGGTGAAAACATTCTTTGTGTAAGAGAAGAAAATTGACAAGTTATATCAATAAAAAGAAATGAAGTAATGGTTTGGATCTCTCTTCCTATTGGTTTCTTGATGTAATCTTGGCTGGTCCTTCCCTTCTCTCACGACAGAACAGGAGATCACGGTATTGGGTGCTGTGTCAGGAGTGCAATATTCCAGGTGACACTGAGCAATTTCAATATGTTCTTTGTGTTGCATGTTATAGTGAGACAGTGAAAACAGGGCTAATGCAACAGGGTCAGGCAAGTGTTGACTGAGACTCAAAGCCAACGTGGCTTTGAAATATAGAGTTTCAATGCTCAGATCACACAGGAAGTAATGATGGTTATTGTATTCACTGTGTTCATATCTTGGCTCCTCTAAACATACTCTACATCTCAGAGTTGGATCTGTCACAGGCTTAAGGTAAATGATTTCATAATAGACAAATTCCAGAGACAAATGATTTCATAATAGACAAATTCCACAACATCATGACCTTCTCATTCATACTGTGGCTAAAATTGGGTGCTGAAAATAAGTAACAAACAGCGTCAAGTTAATATTTTCAAACACTGATTTTCTATAAGCATTGATTAGGCAAGACACATTTTCCAACGAAATAATAAACGGGGATGTGTATATAGGTTATATTTTTAATTGTCTGAACTTTGATGTGATCATCTCATCTGTTTCCACAGCTCTCCTGACATTGTCAGGATCAACTCATAATAAAAACAACATCATGTAGACATAACCTCCAAATCCTCAGCTTTCGTAGCCACTTAGTAAGCTACTTTTTACGTTTCAACCTATTCCTAATCTCTTAGCTTTATTTTTATTTCATTTTTGAACCATAAACCTATGACTTTCCCCCCTACCTTTGACTCTGGCTCCAGTCCTTGAGTACATTAAATATTTTTGTGTGTGTGCCAGAGACAGCAGATTGCTGTGAGCAACCCTGCCCTAACCTGGTCATCTTTGTGAAAAAACAAAACAAAACAAAATCCAGCTTTCCACTGGTCTTGTTAATAGAGCCTTTTACCACCAGCACTCTTCAGGTTTGGCTTGACCCAGTTCCGTGAACAGGACCCAGACAATGATTTTCACCACAACATCATGACCTTCTCATTCATACTGTAGCTGCGGTCTGTTTGGAAACTGCACGCTCTGTGCACTTTGAGTTCACTGAAACAAGATGTCACTGAAGAAATATGATGAAACCATATAATGTATACTTTGCCCTAGATCTCACAATCTATTCCCCCCAAAGGTCAGTTTGTTTTTGCCCTGCCTTCTCCCTACACCAAACCATTTTTTCCGAGTGCTAGTAAACTGCAAACTCCTTAATAAGGACCTGCTTGTCACAGTGTCCCTTATTTAAAGCTTATCAAACATTCTAAGCTCATTTGCATCTTAGTGCCTTTATACTTGCTGCGCTTTCTGATTGCAGAACCCTGTTTCCAAATGGCCATGTAGGAAACTTCCAATTAACATTCATGTCTCAGCTGACATATTATCGTCTTGGAAACACAGTCCCTGATGACCCTTTCAAGGAACACTTCTTTAAAATCTCTATCACAGTTCTTAAAGTATGTCCTATGCAGCCGATGTTACCATTGCAAATGATCTTATTGTTTATATGTTTATTATCTACTTCTATTATAATGTAATTTCTTTGTGAGCCAGCACCTTTTTTTGCAGCATCACCAGTTTCTATGTTAACACATACTTGTTACATGAAGAAATAAAGCAAACCCTCCAGAGGATATATGCCGGTGTCACTTTGCATGAGAAAATAATGAAATAGTTTGCACTTGATCCTGTACATTGTCAATATAAGTATTATTTCAGACATTAAAATACTAGTGCTTATGCTGTATAATATGTAAAGCTTAAAAAAAATTATTGTGTATATATATGTATGTAAACCTAAAACGATGAGATTAGGGGAACTCAGAGATGTAACATGGCTCCAGCAGTAAAGGCCTCTGGGCGATGTTGGACTCTCCGGTTAACCTTCTGTGACTGTTTAACTCTCTCTAGCCTCAGCTTGGCTGACTACCCAGAAAGATAAATGTCAGGCCCCAGGCAGGAGGTTAATGAATGCAGAGAGTGCTAAGTGCCTGATGTCATCTGAATTTAGAAATGCATTGTTCTTCCTGGTCTACATGACTACCCGCCAAGCTCTTACTGTTGACCCCTATAAAAGGGGAGCCTGTCCTGGGATGGGGTGCGAATGTCCTCCTGGCGGCCACCACTGGGAGCACAGCTGCTTTGCCCGGGTATGTAAGTGTCTCCTCTTAAAGCTCTTATGAATTTGAACAAGGCTACATGTCACTTCTTCAGAATCAATCCTGAATTGAGACTTTTGGGGCTTTCTCCCAACAAAGAGAAATTTAAAAAGCAATTTTTGTGTCTGTATGTGAGTACTTTTGTCAGAAAAAAACCCACAGCACATATTTTTCTGGAAAGAGTTAGATATACCTTGCAAAGACAACTGTGTTTTTAATTTCTGATCTAACAAATAAAAATTCACAAGATATTATTTATGTCTATCTTAATTCATTTACATGAAGATGTAAAGTCCTCAGAAAGATCAGGGTGCAGTATCAGCTGATGGCTTTGGAAAGACTATGAGGAGCTGTGAATCCAAAGGTTTTCATTTAACATTATTTCCTCCGTGAAATCAGCTCTATGAATCCTGAAAGGTCATTTAACCTTTTACGCTCCCTGCTCTAGGTGATCTCTAGTTCTCTAGTATGTAAGATGAATAAAGTGTTTATCAATCAATAACTATTTGTCATGCTCCTGTTATGTGTCAGACACACTGTGGCACAAAGAGTTCGTGTTCTCTTGCCAGTTAGTGCCAGGAGTGTATGCAGGTCACCTAACTTGTGTCATCTGTAATATGGATATAACTATGCTCGCTTTCCTGGGAGAAATTTTGGGATGATTAGATGTAATAGAACCTTTTACTATGAAAGTCTGAGAGAGATTTCCAAGCCACAAAGTTGTTTGTACATTCTAGTAGCTGAGGCTCACTATAATTTATAAGACATTGCCCAATAAATAATTGATTGTTTGAGAAACCAAGGTTGATTCTGAGATTTTGAGGTTATTTTTGTTTATATTGGGATAGTAAACTGAGACTTCTTTCATTAAATATGCTATGAGAACCAAGTTGAAGTGTGAAATGTTGTTTTCATAATATTTATAAGGTCGTGAAGGTTATTTGAAGCTCAGATATAATATTCTTGGAGCTAGACACCTGAAGAGAATAAAAAATCCTCACGTAAAGATATAAAGATGATGGAGAGAGGTGAAGAGCAATGTCATTAAACTGAAGTTTTTACTCATTTTGAAGCGAGCTACCATTTCTACCTGACTTTACAACCGCAGTTTATGAGCCTTACACATATCTTATGCGAAGCTTGTTGAAATTAACCTCTAGTAATAGGAAATGCTTTTACCATTCACTGTAGCCAAAGGTGTGACAAGACGCTGAAGGTTAAAGAAAGAAATTTTATCACAGAGAGGCAGTCTCCGAGATCTCATTCGCTAATAGCAATAATTAATATGCTTACTGAGTGTTTTCCAGGTGCCAAGAATTCTCAGCACGCTGCTTTTTTGAGGCATATAATTGTCTCATCACTCTTATAAAGTAAGTTTTATTATTATCTCATGCTACAGTGACGCATAAAGAGTTTGGGGGATTCAAACATATTTGAACATAGACTGACACTGGAGACCTTTAACACTGCAACATACATCTAATGTATGTAAACAATACATATACTATCTAGTATATATAATGTATACAATATATAAGTAAACTAAAGAAAAAAGAAATATTTATTTCCCCAAGTCTTATAAAGTTAATTTAAAAATGAGAAAAGAGAGAGGCATTAAGAAATTTTACCAAGTACTATAACTAATCAGCAGCAGAAAAGTAATTCCGAGTTTTCTGACCAATTCCTTCATATTATATTTGCCTTTCCATGTACCAATTCCTCATCGCCTATTCACAACTCACATGAAGACCGCTGAAAGGCAAAGACGGGCATCGGATAGGAGTTATGGTTTATCCTGAGCACACACAATTATAACACAATGAGAGATTAATTTAATGGAAATGAAATAGATGAGGCATAAAAGGGTGAATTATATTTCAATAAAGCTGCTAGAAAGATGGGCCGTCCCCCACCCTTGCACTGTCTTTCCCTGAGCTGCGTTCAAGTTAGGTGGGCTGCCTCCCTCTGTTAGGCCTCGGCCTCCAGAGCTCTGATTTAAGATTTCCAGAATGAAAAGCGTCAATGGCTCCTTCCATTGGCTTTATAACTCATTCATCCCGAGTTAATACCTGTCGTCTCTATTGGTACTTGAAAGCATATTTATTTATGGTGTTATAGAACAAATATACCAGTAAGGAGGAAAACAAAGCCATGAACTCACAGAGCCGAACCTTGAGTCAATTTACTGTAGCAGCAAAAACAAGGGAAAAATTGAGTTTTAGAGGGAATATCCAGCATTCATAAACTCTATAACTATCTTACATGAACAGCACCTGAAACTACATTCATAAATCAAGGGGAGCAATGAACATGCCCTGGCTTCCTCCTCTATAACTGAAGTTGTGATGGTTCATGGATATAAACTTACCCGGTCAAGAGCTGCTTTCTCCAGTGCATTTCTGGCCACAGCTAATTTTTGTTCCAGATCAGTAAGCTGTTGGGCCTGTAAAATGAAATAAAGGCTAATATTTTTAGTAAATTCCATAATTTCTTCTTCACTTTAGGCATCTATCATTCACTGCCATAAACTTTAAAAAAATTATTTTTGAAAATTCACTTGATTAAGTTACAAAAAATGATGTATTTGACATGAATATCCACTAAATATGAAGACTTTTAGCTCAAGTTCCTGAAAATAACTTGTGATGTAAATCCAACAGTATGTTTCTAGTTGCTGTGACCTGAATTATGTCCCCCTAAAATTCATATGTTGAAGCTTTAACTCCCTCCTATGTGATTGTATTTGGAGACAGGGTCTTTAGGGAGGTAATTAAGATTAAATGAGGTCAAAAAGTGGGGCCCTAATCCTACAGAACTAGTGTCCTTATAAGAATTGAAGAGACACCATAGACCTCCCCCCTCCCCCCC